GGTGTAATCAACCGTTTCACAGTAGTAGTCTGCATTTGGAGTCTGACAAAGCCAGGTGATTGATCTGTTTAGTGTAGAGTCATACGTAATGTCGATGACTTCGTAATAGGAAGAGTTGGTAGATGCAGTATAAGGAGGTGAGATAATGTCTGCAATCACTGCCAAATCGGAGAGTGGTTTTACTTTGTGTATGTTCTTTTCAAGGGGCGTCAGAGAGCCAACCTTAAAACTGTCACTAGTAAGAACATCTTCGGCCGACGTTATTGCTGCGACTACAATAAAGACGTGATGTTAGTCAACGACCAATTAAACGGATTTTAAAACTGATATTTACCAATATTCTGTCTGTAAACTGGCCTGACTTGAGCCAGTATGCTTCTTGGTATTGTGACGTCCTTTAGAATAGAATAACTAGTGACTTTAACTGAGCCATAAACGCATTTCATGAAAGCATTCATTTCTGGGTGATCATGAAGAGGAATTGATGTGTGTTTGCTTAGTCCGAATAATGTCAAAGAGAAGGTGTCGTTTTCAAAAACGTTCACATAGCTTATTGGTGGGGGATATGCTGGATTTTGAGCCTTTAAGTCTAGTTTTTCCGGAGTAAGGTGAAAATCTTCAAGTGTTAGCTCACCCAAAAAAGTGTTAAACGCTTCCAGCGTATCTTGAAATGCTTCTCTCATTGATTTTGACTTGTGAACTTTGAGGTTAGAGAAGAGTGTCTGCGAAACTCTGCATAAAGTTATGAGGAGATTGCTCATTTTTCCACCGCTCGCAGGTGATTAGAAACTTTGGAACTTGATTAGAATGTCAACAGCTGTGAGTCAAAACAAATGCTGGAACTCGGCTGACTGTGTTGATCAGCGTAAAAACGTCACTGCAGTGACGCAGTTTTCTGAAGACGGACATCAGCTGAATGTTGTTGCGTCAGAGATAGAGCCGCAGTACCCGCAGTGGCACACGCTCTCTCTCTCTCCTTCTCTCTCCCTCACTGTCCGAGTGCCGAAGCTGAGCACATTCTGGTAATCCTGGCGCAGATCTCTCTGGCCTCCTTTCAGCCCCGCCCACCGTCAGTCATCACTCCCAGTCAGCTGCCAGACACTGTGGTCAACTTTTTGCTTGGTCCGCTTCTACTCGTGCCCACACGTGTGCAATTTTAATCGGTTTAAACCGGTCGCCGACAGCAAAGTCACATTGGCGCAGTACAACTTTTGCACTGAAAACTTGCGCTGGATGTCATCATGATAATTTGAAGTGGTAACTTCTAAGACTTGATTTACTGCCATCTCGGAAAGCTGTGCCTTGACTTGTCTCCAACCAATCGGACACCATTGCCCACCGTCAATTTCACTGTGAATGAATCCATCAATTTTGCGTCTGGTGCTTACCCGGCAAACCTTTACCAGGGGTTTTGTCCAGAGTACTTCACCTTACAAGTATGCATACCCAGCGGCGTTTTATGCTCATCCGAGTATTGTCACCGCCTCTTACAACTGGAACTACTATGGCCATCGGAACTTCAACATTAGCCGTCCGCTTTTTGACCCTAAAGACTCGTCAAAAGTTGAGCAGACTGTGAAGGCTCTTCGGGAAGAAGTAAAAGATAAGGATAAAGTGACAGCTGTTGTTACGCCAAAACGAAGCCTCGGAAAACGAATATGGGACGAAATTGTTCATTATTATCACGGTTTTCGCCTTTTGTTTATCGACATTGGAGTTGCCTCTCGCCTCATCTGGAAAGTGCTAAACGGCATCAGTTTGTCTCGCCGTGAACACAAGCAACTTGTGCGAACATCCTCTGATGTCTTTCGATTAGTTCCCTTCTCTGTTTTTATCATAGTGCCCTTTATGGAGTTGCTTCTGCCTGTGTTTCTCAAGTTTTTCCCCAATATGCTTCCCTCCACTTTTCAGACTGCATCTTCACAGGTAAGCACTAACTTGAATAAAAACTTGAATAAAAATTGTTTACCAAACTGGTTTGTTATTTGTTTAGGAATCAAAGTTGAAGCAACAACTGAAACTCAAACTAGAGATGGCCAAGTTTTTGCAAACTACTCTTGATGAAATGAGCTTGCAAGCCAAGGGAGAGTCACACTCTAACCGGGCCAAGGAGTTTGCTCAGTTTTTCGATAACGTATGTATAAAGTCCCATCTTACTTAATACAAATTTTGTACATTTTAGGTCAGAAAATCGGGCGAACAGGCATCGAATGAAAACATTCTCAAGTTTTCAAAGTTGTTTGAAGATGAAATTACTCTAGATTCTCTGACGCGACCTCAACTTTTAGCTTTATGCCGCCTCTTGGAACTGCAACCAATTGGCCCAAACAACTTTTTACGGTTTCAACTTCGCATGAAGCTGCGAAGTTTGAATGCTGACGATCGGATGATTTCCAAGGAAGGCGTCGACAGTCTGACTGTTCCCGAGCTGCAACAAGCATGCCGTGCTCGAGGTATGCGGGCGCTCGGTATTCCTGAGGATCGACTCCGCTACCAGCTGGCACAGTGGCTCGAGTTGAGTTTAAACGAGAAAATACCTCCCTCCCTACTCCTCCTGACCAGAGTTCTCTACCTCCCTGAGAGCATCCCACATGCTGATCAGCTCAAGGCGACCATTCAAGCACTTCCCAAAGAAGTTGGAACTGAAACTCGCTACAAAATTGGTGAAACGGAGGGCAAAATTGACAATCGCACAAAGATTGAGTTGATCAAGCAGGAAGAGGCTGCCATTAGGCGCGAAAATGAAGAGGAACAACGTCTCAAGGAGATGGATAAAGCAACCACAACGGCCGCAGCTGATGCCGAACTACTGAAAGCTACGCCTATTCTCGTGGACAAAGCTAAGGATTTATCCAAAGAGGAGATTAAGGAGCCCGTTCTCTCAAAGGAGGATATTGTTTCAATTGAAGATGCTATTGACAATATTTCCAAAGAGAAGAAGATGCTCATTATGGAGAAGGAGGAACTGGATGACATCAAGGAGGAGCTTCAAGATTACAAGGAAGATTTGACCGAGTTCAAGGAGATTTCAAAACAAACTGGGGAGGTCAATCGACTCAAGGAGAGCAAGGCCGCCAAGCGATTGCGGAATAAGGTCGACGGAATGGTCAACAAAATGGATAAAATATTTAACTCTCTTGAAACAAAGAAGGAAGACTTGCAATCTCAAATCAATCAACTAGAGAAGGAAGGCAAAGACATGTCTCAAGTGAAAGGAGACGTCGTCGACATTAACGAGCTTCTCGAAGCCATGCGCAAAATTCAAAAGGCTAGCGATGATAGCAAGCTGTCGCGAATCATTGAAGTGTTGGACACGATGGACATTGACCACGACGGTCAAATTGAGGTGGATCACGTTTTCAAAGTAAGTTTTTTGTGAACTAATGATTGGTCAATACTAAATATCTCTCTTTAGGTAATTGAATTGCTGGGACGAGAAAATGTCCAAGTGACACCGAATCAAATTAAAGACATCATCAACTTGCTGATTCAGGAGGAGAAGCTAAACAATGAAGAGAAGGAGAAGAAGCAACAGTCGGCGGTCAGTTTGGCCGGTCAGGAGGCCGCCAAGCAGTCTCAGGCGCCAGACCAAACAAAGCCCTAATTTATTTTTTTCTATTTGTTGGTGTATATTTTGAGCCCGTTTCCAAATTGTACCTCTTTATAGATCTAAATGTTATCAAATTTAAATTATTATTATTAAATTATTTTAATTAAAACAGACTAGTTTGTCAACGGTTTGAGGTTAACAAATAACAAGCAGAATCAACAAGGAAGGAGACATGTGGCAGCACTTGGATGGCAGGATGGCCTTCATGAAAAGTTCATGTTTATAAAGACATTCTTATGCTCCGACTGAACCGATGCTTCAGTGTGGCCGTTTTCCTGGTAACTCTCAATGTCACTAGTTTTGAGAGGAAAGTATGTGGGCTGCTTTGTTGCATTGACCATCGTGTGAAGTCGCTTCAGATAAATAATTATGCAGAAGATGACGGCAACCATGCAGATGACAAAGAGAAGGTACTCTGCGTAGTTGTTGCCATTTGAACTGTTGCTGACCACGTGCTGAACTTGAACTCCATGTTGATTGTCGAGTGAGCGCAGCGGGAAGAAGCGAGTGCGGAAGATCAAAGCTCCAAGTGACCATTGCACTGGTTCATTGTGAAGTAAAGACACTGAGGTGAAGTGAGAATAGGATTTGGGCATTTTGAAGCCATCATGGAGAACGGTGGTCATCCAGGCTGACTTGAAACACTGGTGCAGCAGTCGTTTCGAGTCGGCATTCGGGTACAGCTTCCGCTTGAATCGGTCCTGAGTTACCAACCAGCTGGTGGAACAGTATTTGCTTGAAGCTGAGTTGAACTTACTATTGGAGTATGGACCGCCCATTGAAAAGATGTCATTCATAGAGTACCAAAACTCGGAAAGGCCATAAAACTCAGTATCCACAAAGGGGACAGACACTTTGTGCAAATCTTGAAATGGACAGGTGCCGTTATTGCACCATTTTAGACCATCAACAGTTATAATTTGCTTCACCTTTTGCTGACAGAGGTTGAAATCACCACTGCCCTTGAGATGATAGAGAAACGTGGTGCTTCCATTGTTCAGCTGACTAGGCCTGGTGATGTTGACCATCTCCGAGCTGTCAATTGAAAGGCAGGGATCAAAGAGAACCGTCTCCAGTGTGTTCAGTGAAGTGTTAACATAATTGTGCTCAGTCCAGCTGTCAATGAGGTGCTGGGTGTACATCTTCCGTGCTGCATTGGCACCTAGTGTCAGGTACGTGGTAACAAATAGCCTGTACTGGTGATTCGTGTCATGTTCCTGGCAGCCGAGGTTAAACTCCGAAACCATGTCCTTGAAAGAATCGCCATGAAAGACTTCCCTCAGTGCATTGTACTGCTCGGTGGAAGTTATTTCAAAAGCAATTTGCGTGCTGGCGCCACCCATTTCCATCATGCTAATGGTATTCATCCGCTTCAGCCGCCGCTGGTCTTTCATCTCCACGTCAACGAGCGGAGCTTTGGCCAGTGTGTGATCGAACCTGCCCATGAGGTAATTGATGGAAACCCAGGAGTAGATGCCCTCTTCTTTGCCTGATATCACTTGAACATTTCCCGGCGTAAAGAGAAAAGAGAAATTTTTTGGAATATCTTTCCTCAAATCATCTAGTATCAAGTTTTGCGATGATTTCGGTAAAAGACGCATGCCCGCAGTTGCTAAAATGTACAGCGGAGTCTCTTTATGCTTCGTTTTGGGAATGTTTTCAGCTGCAAAGTTCAGCAAAGGGGTAATGTAGTCGGAAGCATTTTCCGGATGCGAAGCGTAGGACGACAATCCAGGTGTGATGCTGTGAAATACGTCCTTGCCGCCTTGGTCATGAAGTAGACGAATTTTTAATAACTGCCTAGTATCACCCGAATGCGGCGGCCAGACGTAAATGTAAACTCGACTGCCACTGCTTCCCGCATCAATGATGACTGCGTACTGCAGATCAAGGCGAATCTTGTCGAGGTTATCGTCAAAGTGGTTGCCCGTTATAGACCAGTTGTGGTCCAGTGAAAGGGTGTGGTGGACGGATTTGATGTAGAAGACTAGTAATAATACGGCGGCGATCACAATTATGACTTTCAAGTTGGAGATGAAAAGGCGTTGCACCAACTTTATCAACTCGACAATCCTAGAGAGAAAAAACAGCGATAAGGTGTGAATAAATAAATAGTGGAAACCACTTCTTCCCAAATACCTGTAGTAGTTGAGCGAGGCGATGGCCATGGCCGCAGGCGTGTTCGGCGGAAACCGATGACTACTACAGCTGCAACTACAAGAGGCCACGAGGACAGACGGCGGTGGACATTGAGCAATTATCAGTTGGAGCACGCCAAACGGACAGCCGACCAATGAACGGGTTCATTTTTGTAGAGGCATTGTAGTTGTAATTGAGTGGAACTATTGCAAGGATGAGTTGTTTAAACAAAAGAGTACTGCTGTTATCTGGTGAAGGTGCTGGTGCACCGTTTGAGCGACACAGCTGATGATGGAAAGATCACTGCACTGTCCACAAAACGCCATCAGAGCAGTTGTTGAGGTATTTTGTCTTCACCTAACATTGCAGTGAAGGATACAGCCAAGCAGTAGACAAGTCGCCCACAAGGCCGGCAACTGTAAAGCAAAAGTTTGCTTTGAGGATTTTCCAGCGGTAGCTCTACAAACTACAGTACGCTTGGCTGTGCAAAAACAGCCAAAAAGTGGACAGTTTTCTCATCATTAGCTGTAACTTTGACGCTGACTGTAAACATTTCTCTCACTAGGTAGAGCCAGCTTACAAAATTCGAATTTTGATTCAGTAAAACTTGTTAATAAAAACTACTGAAAACACTCCTGACTTTCACATTTTTACAAATATGCCTTCAAAACAAAAAGATGTCAAGTTTAGCAAAGCAGCCAGGAATGCAGTAGCACCTCCTTCAAAAAGGAATTTGACTTCGGTAAGCAAGTTGCAGACTACAGCGGGCAAGAGTTCGACCTTTAAAGGAGCACCAACTTCGAGTACTACTGCCCCTGCTGCTGTTGCACCGGCCAGCAAGAGTCACCGTACAGTGGACAGCTACTACGACGAGTGCCAGTGCAAGCTCTACCTGGTTGCTATTATTGCCCTGGTCAACGCCTTTACATGCGGCCAGGCGAGCAGTCTGAATCTGGTGCTGGATCCGGACCAAATACTCGACTTTTACCGGTACCAGCCGCAGCAGTACAGTCTGGCAATGGCGCTTTACTTCATCATGGGCAACATCGCTGGCGCTTCCGTTGCCAGTGAGTAGGCTAAAGAAAATGAACTGTTCTAATCCCGTCTTTTCATATTCCAGAGCACTTTATCCAGCAATGTGGCCCAAAAAGGGTGCTGCTCATTGCCTCCTTTTCCTTTACCATCGGCTGGCTTCTCCTCCTGCAGCAGATTTTCATTCTCAACAGTCTCCTCTTTATTCGCTTCATAAACGGCGCCTCAGTTGGTCTGGCATCGATATCTCTGTTAGTCTACCTGGAGGAAATATCACTGCCCTCGAATCGAGGTTTCCTTCTCACCTCCTTCACAACGGCTACCATTTTTGGGACTGCCTTTCCTGCACTGTACTGCCTTCAAGACCCGTACCTCTACACGGTTCTAGTGTTGGGATTCAATCTGCTCGCCTCAGTGACGCTTTATCTGCTGCCCGAGTCACCTCTTTTCATCCTTAAAAGCTACTCTAACGATCCACTGGACCTGTACAAGGCGGAAAAGGCTCTCCGTNCCTCACCTCCTTTACAACGGCTACCATTTTTGGGACTGCCTTTCCCGCACTGTACTGCCTTCAAGACCCGTACCTCTACACGGTTCTAGTGTTGGGATTCAATCTGCTCGCCTCAGTGACGCTTTATCTGCTGCCCGAGTCACCTCTTTTCATCCTCAAAAGCTACTCTAACGATCCACTGGACCTGTACAAGGCGGAAAAGGCTCTCCGCTTGGTGCGCTCCACCACCTCATCGGACAGCTGTGCGACACTCTTTGAAATTAGTCGCCTCGTCGCCGAGAAGGAGCACTTTGCCGAAGTACTCAGTCTTTCTCATCCCCTCTTTTACCGCCCTCTAAGACTGCTAATTTGCNTTTGGTGCGCTCCACTACCTCATCGGACAGCTGTGCGACACTTTTTGAAATTAGTCGCCTCGTCGCCGAGAAGGAGCACTTTTCCGAACTGCTCAGTCTTTCTCATCCCCTTTTTTACCGCCCTCTAAGACTGCTCATTTGCCTCGTTTTGCTCATGCAAGGAACCTTTGGCAGTTTAGGCCGTCTCTTTGGTCGACCCATGATTTCCATCCTCGACTACCTCGGTGAAAGTAGAGTAGACAACAACACCGACAACAGCAACCTCACAACCGCCCTCAAGGTGGATCGCTCCAGCGCCTCAGCCTATGCGGTCGTTCAACTGGCCACCGCCATTTCCGTTTCCTTTCTGCTGATTCGCCTTCTCGAGCGTCGGACGGTGCTCGTCTGTTGCGGCGGAGTGATGGCCATTTTACAACTGGTTCTCGGCGTGCTTGTGATACTGATGGCGAAGAAGGGCAAGAAGGAGTCAGCTGAGTGGTGGGCGTCATCGGTGCAGTACCTGTCAGCGGCAGTGAGCACCACCATCGAGTCAGTTGGCTGGCTGGTAATCACCGAGCTGCCTGTCCACGAGCACCGGACGTACACGGTGGCGGTTGGCTGGGTGGCCAGCTGGCTGCTCACCGGTGTCACCGTCACTTTGGTGAGCACCTACGCTGCCTCGAGTGGTGGTGCCCTCTTCTTCTTCGTCAGCTCCTTCACCACGGCCGCCACCGCTGTGGCCATTTACATTTGGCTGCCGAAAAAGCTAAAGGGTAGATCGTGCAGTCAAATAGCTGCCCAGTTTATAGGCGTATCACATTCAATGTCGCAGGTTGCAATGGAGTGAGGACAGTGGTATTAAAAGCGTGTATCGCAGTAGCACTACTCACTCTCCACTCTAGTCATCTAGTCAACCCTTGCAGTGGTCTCATTCACCCCTGTGCGCCGACAAATCGAGTGTATCAGCCACTGTTGCTTTAGTTTGCGCACGGAAGCTTTCATCTCACTCGATTCGATGGGCGACGTTCTTTTTTGCACAGCAATCAGCAAATGTCATCATTCAAATTTCCTTTCAGCCCAGGACGGCCGTTTCCCTGTTGCCAGCTTTTTCCCCTCAGTCTAGCTTGCACTTCCATTCGCTCACTTTGTGACAGTGGTCAAGATGAAATTGTTACACTGCATTTTACTGGCCATATTATGGCTGAATTTGTTTAATGAATCTCATTGTCAACGACGGAATCAACAGTTGGACTCATCCACCAGTAAAAGTAGCGAGAGTTGGAGAGACGAAGAAGCCGAAGAAGACAAAATTGAGCAAATCAAGTTCAAGCGGAGACAGGCAGAACCGGGCAAGTAGTATATTTGACGCCTTTTCAACTTGTAACTAAATGATGCCCGTTTCTAGAGAGTGAACAAAATGATGATGGTCAGTTTGTTAACAGACAACTTGCCACATTTCTAAGTCTGACAAGTAATTCGGTAAAATCAAGTCAACTTGTCAATTTCGATGGATGGTTTCATGACCTGAATGAGGTTCATCGAGGAGCTAAAGGTTCAACATATTAATTTTAAAAACTGTTTTTAAAGCTACTTTATTCTTCACCTAGGTGCACCATTGACCAGACTGTTTACATCGGCTCAACCAAATGCCAACCTTCCAAATGTATTCAAGCTCAGTGAAAGCCTTCTCAAGAGCTATGAAGAGCCGGGCTTCTCGAGCAGCGGCAAAAATTTACTATTTGTCTACTTTGGCTTCTTTGCCCTCAATGAAATTGTCGATGCCCATCAGCCACGTTGTCCGCCCAGTTACAGGGAGGTCACATTTCCTGAGCTTTACTTTGACGAGAACGGACAAGAAGTTCGCTACCAGCCGACTACAAATCACAGCTACATGATTCTGAACAAGCTGGAGTACTGCAAAATATACAGCTACGAACTGAACAATCCACCGAGAAAGACCAACACTCGGACGTCGTGGATTGATGGCGAAACGGTCTATGGCGACAACAAGTTTTGCGCTGACCATATGAGAACGTTTACTGGAGGACATGTAATTGACACTAGCTCACTTTACGCTAAAAAAGGCGCTGGTCTGCAGTGTTTTAACGGTAAAAACAGTTTTACATAAAAATGTTTTTTGACTAATCGACTGTTTTTAGCTTTCGGAAGCACTTTGGTCAACGAGAACCCATTTACCTGGACAATTCTTTCCATTTGGCTTCGATGGCACAACGTTGTTGCTGATGTAATCTCCCAAAACAACAAACATCTCTCAGACGAAACAGTCTACCAGGAAGCGCGAAAACTGACTGTTGCGACAATGCAGAACATCATTCTCAATGAATGGCTGCCCGTGTTCCTCGGTCAAGAACCTCAGCCCTATTCTGGTCACCAGGCAGAGGAAAATGCACAAATTACCGATCTGTTTGATGCACTTGTACCCTCATATCTGTACTCATTAGTCAGTTCATTTGCCTTCAAAGTCGATCTTGACTGTTCTAAAACAAATGGTGAATCGCTGATTCGGGTTTGCAATTCCTTCGACGAGCCACTGAGATTCTCATCGAACCGAGGAGTTGACCAAATTCTGGCTGGATTACTGCTGCAAAGTGCAGAAAAGGACGATCACACCGTAGTGGAAGACATTCGCAGATTCGCCAAAGGACCAGTGGACTTTACCAGAGAGGACTTGATTGCCATCAACATTCACCAAACTCGAGACTTTAACATGCCCGACTACTTGAGCGTGCGTCAGCAATTAGGCTTGAGTCCATCTAACCACTCCACTTTTGAACAACTGGCTAGAGACCTGTGGCCAGCAGCGATGAGCTTAGATAAGGTTGTAACTGTAATTCAACAAAACAGTTTAATGCCAATTGATTTTTTGTTTAACAGTTTTTAGTGCCAAAACTTCAAAACTTGTACGACAATAGTGTGCAGAAGATTGACGTACTGATTGGGGCGCTTCTCGAGAATGACGGAACCGGCCCAGGCCAGCTAATATCGCACATTGTCAAAGAACAGTTTGATCGAATAAGACGAGGAGATCGTTTTTACTTCGAAAACTCCAATGGGTATGTGTTCGCTTATTTGTCTACTGAATCCATCTAACAGAGCAGCTAATTAGGCTATTCAATCAAGAGCAAATTCAACGAATCAAGGCAATTAAATTTTCACACGTGATTAAAGCAGTGTCAAATCACTCAGGGGGTGATGGGCTGATTACAGAAAATGCTTTTCTCCTTCCCACAGGTAAGTAAGGACGGTTATATTTTCATATGAAATTAAATCTTAAATGTAGAGAACCAAAACCAGCCATCGACGCAGTGTCGTACCTCACTTCAAGGCGTACTCAAGACCTACCAGTGCTCAGCCTATGGTCCTCAGAAGACTCAAGTCACTTGCACAACTCTCGACTACAAAAGTAGCATCAGCATTCGAGAGGAGTGCGCTGGTGGACACACCATGGATTTGTTTGTCGGAAGCGAGCTCTTTTTTGTGCTGACATTCACCTTTCTCGCCGTCTTTATCGTGTCAATCATTCTTCTACTGAAGTGTCTAGTGTACCGGAAGAACCGCCAAAGCGAGTCAGTGAGAGTGAAGGCCTCGAAGCTTCGTCGAATGACAATTAGCGACAACACTACTCTGGTAAAGTTCAAGAACACAAATTATACCTTCATTAAACTTTACCACACTTTACAGGCACAAGAATGGGTGGACGACAAAGAGTTGTACCGAAGTGTCGAGGTGGTCTTCAACAACAAAAACAAGTCAATCAAAGTGCGTGCAGAAAGTGGCTCCAGTGTGCTTCGCTCCATCTACCTGAAGGATGTGACTGGAAAAGTTTGGGTGCAGTGTAATCACAACAAGTCGCAAGATCACATGCTGATACGAGTTCCCAACGAATATGATCTAGTTCTCAAGTTTGAAAGTTACTATGAACGAGAAAAGTTTATTGCCAAGTTTGAGGCATTTCTCATGGAAATTAACATAACTCAGGAACGACACAGTCAGGATCTCAAAGCCATGTTCAAGTTTGCGTACACCAAAGCCAAGCGACAGCGACACTTGGAGCAGTTCTTCCGCGTGGTCTTTTCACACGTAAGTATTTGTAATATTGCAGTGCATGATTTAACTGCCTGTATCAACTTAGGCATTCAACAAAAAGACACAAGAAAACATTGACATGAAAACTGCCAAAGAAGTCCTCACCACCGAGCTGACTCAAATTGAATTTGCCGAGGCCTTATCAATGCGCCCTGAATCGACTTTTGTACAGCAAATGTTTTCATTGATCGACAAGGACAACAATGGGTACATTTCCTTCAGAGAATTTCTTGATATCATGGTCATCTTTGCTAAAGGCTCCGCAGAGCAGAAAATTAAACTCATGTTTGACATGTACGACGTCAATCAGGTACGTAAAATAATTGACCTTTATATGTCTTTTTTAAACACTACATGTGACTTTTAGAATGGAAGACTGTCAATCAATGACTTTAAAGGCATGATCAAGTCACTCTTGGAAATTGCCAACCAAAGTATATCGCCCATTGAAATGGACCAAACGATTCACTCAATGCTCAACGAAGTTGGATATGCCTCCAAGAAGGAGCTCTCGTTTGAAGAATTCAACAAGCTGTTTAGCAACTACAAAGAAGAGCTAGGCTACTCGGAGCTGAACTTTGACTGTAAGTAGTTTTCTTTTCCTAAAAAGAACATCTGAAGTAATTGCTTCCTCCACAGTGTCGAACCTTCACAATCTCAAGGCAATGGACAAGCGGCAGTCTGCCCTCTATCGCGCCAATGACACCATCATTCGTGCGTACAGCTACTTTGGCGGCAAAGCAGGGCACGACTTTAGTGATCTCGCGAAAAAGGCACCTACTTTTCTTAAAATTGAAACGCACGAACACTCCAAAGAGCCAGACTGGCTCATCTCTTGGGTCCGCTTTGTTGATGCCCGCAAACAGGAGATTTTCTTTATCGTACTCTACACCTTGTGGGTGCTGTTCATTTTTGTCGACAAAGCATACTGTAAGAGTGATTTCTGATTTGTGGATTCCAGAACTCAGCATTAATTTGCCTTCATTACAGACTACACTTATCTGAACGAATCATCGGGACTTCGACAGATTGCCGGTCTGGGGGTGACCATCACTCGAGGATCGGCCAGTGTGTTGATGTTCACCTTCTCCACCATTCTGGTGACCATGTGCCGAAACCTGATAACGTTCTTCCGAGAAACCTTCCTCAACCAGTACATTCCCTTTGATGGAGCCGTCTCCTTCCACAAGTACATTGCCTTCTGGGCCTTTCTCATGTCGAGTAAGTGGAAGGTACACTAACTGCTGCTCAACGCTAATAACGCACTTTGTACTTTGCAGTAATTCATGCCACCGGCCATTGCTTCAACTTTTACCACATCTCCACCCAGCGACCACATGACATCAACTGCCTCTTCAGAGAGATTTACTTTCTGTAAGTCAGGACAAAACAAGTGTGCCATCTTTGATATTAATTTTTGCCAATTTCGGCGTAGTGACAACGAAATGCCCAAGTTTCACACCTGGCTGTTCAAAACTCCAACCGGCATTACGGGCATTTTGCTTTTAGCGCTCATCTTTCTCATTTACATCTTTGCGATTCAGTACTCTCGCCGACATGTGTTCAATGCTTTCTGGCGGACGCACAACCTGTACCCGATTCTGTACATCTTAATAGTCGTCCATGGACTTGGCAAGCTCATTCAGCCGCCAATTTTTTACTTTTACTTTCTATTTCCCATTGTAAGTGGTACCGCTCTGAACACCTACGCATTGTCGCTAACTTTTCACACAACCAGACGCTGTTCACCTTGGATCGACTCATATCAGCAAGTCGGAAAAAAGTGGAAATCTCTGTTATAAAAGCGACCCTGCATCCCTCGAACGTCACCCATCTAGAGTTCAAGAAGCCGCCCAACTTTGATTACAAAAGCGGCCAATGGATGAGGATCGCCTGTCTGGAGCTGAACAGCAACGAGTATCACCCCTTCACGATTGCCTCGGCGCCCCACGAAGAGACGCTCTCTATGTTCATACGAGCTGTAGGGCCATTCACGAAGAACTTGCGCCAGATTTACGACTGCAACACACTCAACGGTCGACCCTATCCGAAGCTCTACCTGGACGGACCGTACGGCGAGGGCCACCAGGACTGGCTCAAGTTTGATGTTTCCGTCCTGGTGGGCGGCGGCATTGGCATCACTCCTTTTGCCTCCATCATCAAGGACATCTCTTTTCGATCCAGTTCAAAAGCAAAAATTAACTGCAAAAAGGTGTACTTTCTCTGGGTGACGCGAACGCAAAAGCACTTTGAGTGGATGTCTGATGTTATTCGCGAGACTGAATCCAAAGATCGGAACAATCTCCTGGTGTCGCATATTTTCATCACTCAATTTTACGAAAAGTTTGATCTGAGGACAACGATGCTGTACATCTGCGAAAGGCACTTTCAGCGACTGTCAGAAAAAAGTATAGAATAATCGTTTCTCTTGTCCTCTATCGCTAACAACTAAAACCACCTTTCAGGTCTATTCACCGGTCTCAAGGCAAAGACACACTTTGGCAGGCCTAATTTTGAAATTTTCTTCGACTCTTTGCAGTTGGAACACCCTAATGTAAGTCACTTCACCCGTCTAGTTCTAGTCTAATAAGGTTCCCTCTTTTTTAGGTCGAGAGAATTGGCGTGTTCAGCTGCGGTCCTGGTCCAATGACGAACAATGTTCAGCAGGCGTGTGAAGCGCTAAACCGCAAGGAAGGAGCCATTTTTATTCACCACTTTGAAAACTTTTAAACCGTGTTAATTTGCCTAAACTAATTAATACACCTGAATACTGTTAATAAAGAAGAGTAAACGCGTAGCAACAA